TTGAGGAGGAGGACCTGGAGGTCCTTTTATTAACTGAGTTTGGCATCCAAACAAAAACATGTGATTTCTTCTTTTAAATGCCCACCTTTTCCCCCCTCCTTCAAATGGATTACTCAGCAATCTGAATGATCTGGCAGCATGCAAATTTAAGGGGTAATAACAACAACAGAACAGGAATTTCCCCATTATAGCCTCCCCAATCTGCACCTAGCTTGTTCCGGAAGCCTTTATACAGGTGAAATGCACTGGAAAGCCCCCTGTAGCGCTGAACGATTGGTGTGTGTCCTCTTCTTGTGCTTCCTCCCTTACACACACACTCCCATCTCAGCAGATCACATTCCATCCAATTTCTTATGAAACATAAACCCTAGGGCTGTTGGCTTGTTGATTTCACCCAATGTACACTGTGCTGACGAATGTAATATAAGTCAAACAGATAGCCTGCTGCCCTCAAGTCACTTCTGGTTTCAGACCAGACAGCAGGAGGTCACTAGATACAGCCATCTAGATGTCAACAGCGAGGAAACCCAAAAATGATTTTTCTCTTACACACACATAAGCATTCCTGGTTACAGGGCCAGACTAAGACTGGGAAGGCCTGATTTATCTCCAGATCTCTCTGGCGACCTTGATCCAGCTACCCGCTTCTTAGCAGACAGGCAGGCAGGACCATATATACCTCTGAAGACCACAGAATGTAATGCTTACTCCACCAGAAGTTTAGCATGCATTTCCATCTCCATCCTTAGCCATTTTCCTTTTAATTGATTTAATTTGTAAGTGACGGTTACAAATACATGATTCCAAGTTGGCAATCTGGTTAGCTATCTTATGCCTTTGTTTCCTTGTGGTGGAATGGAGCAATCACCACAGGGAATTTCGAGGGAGAGGGGTGGAAATAACGTCGACACAATTCAGATGAAAGATTTCTTTAATCCTTGCTTCCTACCTACCCCACCTATATTTTTATTCTTCCAGTGCTGGGGTTGGGAGGACTGGCTGTTTCATTGTAATCGATGCCATGCTGGAGAGAATAAAGCATGAGAAGACAGTGGACATTTATGGGCATGTCACCCTCATGAGGTCCCAGCGAAATTACATGGTGCAGACAGAAGACCAGTACAGTTTCATACACGACTCTTTGCTAGAAGCTGTTGCTTGTGGAAACACGGAGGTCCCCGCTCGGAACCTGTACACCTATATCCAGAGGTTGGCACAGATAGAAGTGGGGGAACATGTCACAGGCATGGAGCTGGAATTCAAGGTGAGCAGAGATACATGGGTGTGTGACTCAGGCAGCTTGTGCTGTTGCTCCTGCACTGGAAGCAGGGGGCTGCACAGTTAGCTTGCACAAAACTGCAATCTGTACTTTGAGGGGAAAGCATTTGCTTTGGATTCAGAAAGCCTTGGACTTGTGCCCTGCCATCTTCTGAGAAGGTAGGAAGAGGCCTGGGTGGGACTGTGGCTCACCGAATTCTCAGTCGGGGAAGGCTGGCATAGACAATATTCAGTTAACACTGTTTCTCAACCTGGGTGACTTCCAGATATGTAGATTTCAATGCCAAAAATTTTGAGCAGTAGCTCAAATTTTGGTTGGGGGATTCTGAGAGTAGAAATGCACACGTCTGAGAGTGACCATCAGTGCGCAGAATTCTAGGCAATGACCATGCCAGCTGGCAGATTCTGAGAGTGACATCTACACATGTAAAGGTCCAAGAACACGTCTGTAGAGCAGTGTTTATCTGAAAGAAATCAAAGCTGAGGCCATGCTGAATTCGGGGAATAGAGGTCTTTAGGGAAACCTTCAACTCCCAGAATTCTCAGCAGTGGCCATGCTGGCTGGGGAATTCTGGGAGTAAAAGTCCATACATCTGGTGAATTACCATTAATTCGTGGGATCCTCAACAATGGCCACATTAACTGGGGAATTCTAGGAGATGAAGTCCACTCGGGGGGAAGCATTATTCTGTGCTGCTGGCATTACGGTCACTTCAGCCTGCCCTGAACTGCCCACTCACCTGCCTGTGCTCCCTTTCCCCTGCCAGAGACTGGCCAACTCCAAAGCTCACACCTCCAGGTTCATCAGTGCCAACCTTCCCTGTAACAAATTCAAGAATCGCCTTGTCAACATCATGCCATACGAGACCACACGGGTTTGCCTTCAGCCTATCCGCGGAGTCGAGGGCTCCGACTACATCAATGCCAGCTTCATTGATGGATACAGGTAAAGTCCCAGGAGGAGGTGTGATGCCTTGTTCCTTTGTCTCCTACTGTTCCTTATTCCATATGCCAGCCATCCGTAGTCCTCAATATACGTGCCGTGGTGTTACACATTAGAGATGTGTGCATGTGTTGCTCCTCTAGAACCTTTCTTAAAAGATGCTTGTTTCTCAGTGGCCCAGTTCTTGCTCTCTTTTACCTTGCCTTTCCTTCTGAATGTTAAGCTTGAAGAGGTAAGAAGGTTGTTTGGAAATTCCAAGTGGTCCACAAGGGTTTCTGGCTCCTATTCTGTTAGTAGTTGCCACTGGAATAAGGCTTCTTCTCCTGCTGTTACCAAGGACCGTGATATCTGAACTGCAGAAATCCAGGTGACTAGGAGTGGCAACAGAGAGGAACCAAAAATTGACTCTTTGTCACCATCTAGTGCTCCGCTGGATTTCTGCAGCCCAGGTACAGCAACCCATCATTATATTTCCTAAATTAGGGCTGCTAAAAACCATGTCTTTTAATTTGGAAAACAAATCGTTCCTTATTTCTGAGTACCTAATTTCTCCTGACTTCTGTTGTGAAGCTGGGCTTTCACGTTAAATGCCAAAGCTAGATCCTGCAAGGTTGAAGTTTGCAAAATGTTTAGCGTAGATTTTAGACCTGCAGTTGTTTCCGTTTTTGTTGTTATAAAAACCCACTTCAAAGGACAAGAGAGGAAAAAGAAAAAGTTCCCCAAAGAGAATGAAACAACTGATATTCAGATCCAAACTGCTGTCCTCCAGCTGCAGTTCCCACTAACGCCAGCCAGCTTGGCTTATGGTGTTGGCACTTGGATTTTAACATATCTGGCAGTGCCAGGTTAAGGGAGGCTGAGCAAGGGGGTGGAGGTGATTCTTCAACCTGGCAGGGGTAAATGTGTAACTAGAAGTCTTCTCATATTGCTGTGTTCTTTGTGGCTGATGGGTTCGAGATGAGCCCGCTTCTGCCGTCCAACTTGACATGGGTCTCAGCATTCCTCTGGACTGTCATGGAATCCATCTTCCACTGAAAGTCCATCTTGCCTCCTTAGCTTGCCCTCCAAACATAGTAGATTTTCTTGCTCCTGCAGGCAACAGAAGGCTTACATCGCCACCCAGGGACCATTGGCCGAGACCACAGAGGACTTCTGGCGCATGCTTTGGGAGAACAATTCAACCATTGTGGTGATGTTGACCAAGCTGCGAGAGATGGGTCGGGTAAGCGGGAAGTCCTGGCTTGGCGCTTCATTCCAAACCCCAGAATCATGGGTGAATGTCCCTTGGATAGCAAGTTTTGATTTCCTAGGTGTCCTTTGTTTTTCTCCTATGCAACCGATAGTAATGTGCGCAGGGGAGCCAAATGTCTCATCTCGATGCATGTAAAAAAGGGCAGGTCTTCAACTGCATGGTTGTGGCCACCCTCTTGATTTTTTTTTCCCCTCTTCCTTCAGACACTTCTGGCAACAGGTATTGACGTGGCTGTTTGCATATAACCCCACGCACAGCTAGAAATGCTCATGAGAAGCCCCTGCAACTTAAATCTCGGATCAGATGATAGCCAAGCTGCAGAGCTTGGGCTGTTAGAAAGACAGCAGGAAAATCAATAGCTTACCTCATACGTGGCAGTCCAGTCATGTTCACAACTATATTAAGGCATAGCTATAAAAACACACACGTGTGTTTGTGTTTGGCCTTCTGCCCATTGCTCTGTCTGTGAATGATTGAATAGCCTCCATCCATGTGGGTGAGGGGATATATTGAGCAGCTAAATAAAAAAAGAATCCCAGCTGCCAAACATTGCTGGCACTGAGTAATGTGATAGTAACTGGTTTTCCTAAAATTCTAATTTAATTCTCAAATATTTCCAAGGGGAATGTAAATCAGGGCAGGATGCTGGGTTGGCTTTGAACTATCCAGGCCCCTGTGGGAATTTTATTGCATCAGATATCTCAACACCAGGTTGGTGCAGTAGGTCCTGGTTTTTTTGCTGGTAGTAAGTGAGCCTCTTCCTCTGTTGGTCAACAGGAAAAGTGCCATCAGTACTGGCCAGCCGAAAGGTCTGCACGGTATCAGTACTTTGTGGTGGACCCCATGGCTGAATATAACATGCCTCAATACATCCTCCGAGAATTCAAGGTCACCGACGCCAGAGTAAGTCATGGCCAAATTCCCATCCTTCACCAGCTGTCCAGGATGAAGTGATGCTGAAATGTTGGTCCTGCATACAGATCATTGGAAGCAGATCAGGTTGGGCCGGAAATCAGATTGAGCTGTGGACATGTATGATCCACCATTGTCCTCAGTGAGATTCTCTGGCCAGAAGGATCTCTTACACTGGCATCCTCGTGGTGGCCCCTATGAGCCAGATAATATTGGAGGGGATATTTGACTAGTAGACCAGGTTGTTTGACTGCCTCTAGCCTAGCAACATGTGACAGATTGTAAGGGGGCTGAGAAAGAAAAGAAATGGGAGTCAACTGGTGGAAGAGGGGTTTGTTAATAGCTTATCTCATACATGGCAGTCCAGTCTGGGTTTCAGAAACTCTGGGAAGCAGAGATTCAAATTTTTTAAAGAAACTCCATCTTAATGAATCCACTAAGTTCACACTTCAATTTCCAAGATTCTGTATTTTACTCCAAATTCTTGCACTAAACTCTTATTTGTGGTTCTTGCTTCTTTGATCATGTCCTGCTGTTAAGGGATTGGACTAGACATATTGTGTTCTGTGATAGCCAGTGGCTTTCTAGAATCTCAGGTGGAGAAGGGGGGTTTCCATTATCAGCTAGAGCTGCGAAGAGCTTCAGAATCAAGGGCCAAACAGATACATTGGAGGGCAGAGGGCCCCTGCCCTCCATACCTGCATCATCACTTTTGTTTCAACCTGGCAATTCTATAGAGGAAAATTCAGAGTGAACCCAAAGATTAAAGGCGTTTTCTGGTTCACCTATTCCTGTGGGGTTCTTTTTCCCTCTCTTGGTTTTTCTTCACCATCTTACCACTATAATGCATAGTCCCCCACCCACCCCCTCCCAAACCTCCCCTTGTATTTCATCTGCATGAATTCTGGCAAGAAATCTTCAACCACCCCCTGTTCTTCATCCCAGCAGTTGTTCATCTCTTGCTGTTTAATCCTTTTGAATTTGTTTCCAAGGATTTTCCTGCCTTCTGAAGGACATGAACACACATAAATGCCTTTTCTCTCTCTTTTTCTCTCCCTCCTTAGATGATAGATAGCATGCCATGTCGCCATGACTATTGCACAGTGTTTTCCTGTATGGCAATTTTTTTAAAGCAGCACACTTCTCCCCTCCTTCTCCTTAAAAGAGCACAGGAAGGGCTGTCTGAGCCATCAGCATTATTCAGCCAAGAAATTGCAGTTCCAGAATTTCTGCTGAGCACCAGATTAAGGGAACCTGGGGTACACCTTCTCCCACCTGAGTGTCAGCCTCACGCCAACCCCGAGAGGTAGACTAAGTTGAGTGAGAATGACTCGCCCAGGTCACCGCTGAATTTGCAGCTAAGGAAGGATCAAAATTGGGCCTCTCCTGGTTTGCCAAACTGAGTCCTCTGTTCCACCATATGTTAGCTAACAAAACCCTCCAATGTTTTAATTTTTTCTGGGGGTTTTCAGCCTGCCTCTCCTTCTTCAGCCACATTTTGGTGTTTCTGCTTTGTTACGCTGGTTTTGTTTTTTAATGCATCAGGTGTGTGTTGCACATAAAAAAGTGGTGGAGCTCTGGGTGCATGGTCAGACCCTCTATCTTGACTTTTGCGACTCCCCCTGTGAATGCCCCTGGAATTCATAATCTTGGTAAACGTGTTTATTTAAACTATTTATATGACCAGCCAACTTGAACAGTGTGACTCTGGGCACCTTACAACTGAAAACAAACTAAGGTTAAAGCAACAGTCAGTAACATCCGTAATAGGGCTCCCATTCTTACTCTCCCAATGAGGACATTGCTCTTCTCGGTTCCAGTACCTGGGGAGTAGCCAAGTTTTCAAAGCCTTTCTAAATGCCAGCAGGGTTGGGGCATGTTCTGTGGATGTAGCCAATAAATGTTCCTGGATGAGGGATGGGATAAAAAGCAATAAAATAAACTTTATTTGTACTAGAGAAGCAAAACCACATGGTCTGTAGAGGGAAAAAAATGTACAAGCTTGCTGAAGTCTCCAGGGTTCATTCAGTTCTGAGAACTTACTTGCTTCCTGATATGCTTGACAGTTGGTTTGTTCTGTTGCACTGGTTCTGTTTTTACACCTTAAACCCTGCCTTTTTTTTCAGGACGGCCAGTCAAGAACCGTGCGTCAGTTCCAGTTCACCGACTGGCCGGAACAAGGTGTGCCAAAATCTGGCGAAGGCTTTATTGATTTCATTGGGCAGGTCCACAAAACCAAGGAGCAGTTTGGACAAGATGGACCGATTTCTGTCCACTGCAGGTACACACAGCTGGAGCACCTCTTTCTGTCCCAGAGCACCGAAGATTCTCCTTTCCTGCCAAAGGAAAAGAAGTCAGCCCGTTCAGGACCTTCTTGGTCTTTGTCTGCTCACTGATACTTTAGAATTAAAAAGAGCTGCATCGGTTGCCCAGCCAGCTAAGCTCTGTCTTAAGGCGGAGTTTCCAGAGATGGAGAAGAGGAGGAAAATCACTCTCTGATTGATGGTTTAGATAAAAAGCTAATGTGTCTGTGACCATCAGCAGGCAAAGAGGGTCATAAAAGTCAGTATGCCGGCTGCAACTGTGTAATCAAAGCAGGGCTTTGGTAACATGGTCACAGCTACCATCTTGCCATCTGGTCCCCTGCGGATGGCCCTGGATATGTCCCTTCTCCAATCTCTGGCAGAATTCTTTCATTAGCACCAGACTCAGGCTGAAAACTGGGCCGTTCTCATGGCAGAAATGGTGAATGTTCTTTAAAATGAAGCTTCTAACTGCACTAAATTTTATTTTGCACAACAGGCATCACTGACCTCTCTACTGCTCTCCTTGCACACAGATCGTTAGTCCCTGAGAGTTTCAGTATTTCCCTTCCTGGAGCTAAAATTATATAGTTGGGCTATTCTGTTCTGCTCCTTTACTTCCCCTCCACCCACTTCCCCTAAAATATAAATTGTAAGCAGCTTTTAGCCCTCATTTCCAGCTCACCTGCAGATTAGCAAGAGGCACCTCCCCATCATTTTCATTTCTTTGCAAGGCCTGTTAATTGATAAAGGATTTCTTTGTAGAACAGGGAGGAACTAACTGGCTAAATAGCCCATTAAATGGATAGATTTTGACCTGTTGGTAAATTGCAAAGCTTTAAAGAGTCTGTCTTCCTGCAGCTCTTGGGAATGGGAGATGGAGTGGACTATTTTTTTAGCTTTATCTTTCCAATCTCCTGCTATCTGAGCCTCTCCATACTAAGGGCAGAGAATACTGGGCAAAACAACATCTTATGAAGGAGGTAGTGCAAGCAATTATCTGCTGTTTATTACTTTGAAATATTGGATGCCGGTTTCTCTAACCGTGAATGGATGCAAGTCTCTGAGAACATTAAGTATCGTCTGGATCCTGGCCAAAAGTAGCCAGATCACTGCTCTGTTCTTCAACTTCAAACTCTGTTTCCAACCTGCTCAACACAGAACCCATCCATCCATCTTTTTCCTAAGGGGCCCGAGAAGGTGGTGAGCCCCTGGATGTTTTTCCAGCTCCAGAAGATAATCTGTGATTAAAGCCTTAGTTGATTACGCACGGGCAGGGAGATTAAAGACTCTCCGCCTCAGCTTGCGGGCTTCCACCTTGGCACTGAGGGATCTGTCTTGTGGGTGAGGGGACGCCATCTGCTCCTTTACCTCTGCTCCTGGCTGGCTAAGCCTGAAAAAAGCTTGCAACTCCAGCCAAGGAACTGGGACAGGGGAACCTGACAAGCTTGTGGCTGTCTAGTTCCTACACACAAGTTTGTTAGTCTGCCTCTTCTGATCCCTTTTTAGGCAAGCTGCTTTCCCCCGGCATCCCCTGCCTCAAATTAGGAGGGGGACAGAAGTCTCCGTTTGTATAGGTGGCAGCATACATAACTTCTTCCCGAGGGCTTTCCTTGCAAAGAGCTTAGAGATCTTTCGTATCATCCGTACCTTCCCTTTTCGCCTTCCAAGCCAAGGGGCAGTGGGAGCTCTACGTGGGAGATGGGTGCACTTGAGATTCAGATTTAAAGGAAGGGTTTATTGATCTCGGAGCCTGTCAGAAAAGATGGTTCCCAGGTGGGACTGAATGTAAAAGTTCCTGTGTTAGCCACCCTTGTGGTTGGGCGCTCTGAGTTCACTTGCAGACTCGCTAGGCCAGGGCTGGCAGGCAGGTCAGTGGGTCCATGCTGGGCTCTGCATCTGCAGCTCCTTAAACCCACTGGGTCTTTTCCCAGGATTGCACTGCAGCTGCGGGAGGTAGCTGCTTTAAAGAGGCCGGCAGGTGTTCCACGAGGATCCTGTCTGCTACAGAGCATCTCTTGCCTTCAGATCCAAACCCCTGTATCGCCCTAGTTGTCACGTCTTGGCAACCCCCATGGTTTCTTCTGGGAATGATAGAAGCTGTAGTCCAGCCTCTCTGGACTAGGGCAGGTCGGGGAAGTCTGCTTTATCCCCAGCTTTGCGAAAAAGGCACAAGATGGTCAAGGCGGATTCCCCGCAGGCCCTCCATGCTATGTCCCTCTTTCTTGGCAGTGCGGGAGTAGGCAGGACCGGCGTCTTCATCACACTGAGCATCGTACTAGAGAGAATGCGCTACGAAGGTGTGGTGGATATCTTCCAGACCGTGAAGATGCTGAGGACACAAAGGCCTGCCATGGTGCAGACAGAGGTAAGAAGGAGAGCTTCACTTTGGACTCACCCCAAAACTCGCAAGGATGGGGCCAGGGGAAAGGGGGGGTGCTCAGCGCTTCTCCTGTGACCATCAAACGTGTTTGCTGCAGGAGAAGCGCTGAGCCCCCCACCCTTCCTCTGACTCCGTCCTTGCAACGGTGCAGTACCCAGCTCCAGAATGGGGACAAGGCTAGAGATGACGTGCCACTGGGTGCCCCACAGGAGGACCTGTAAACCCTCCCCTGGCCGTTTTCCTCCTCCGAAGCAGCAAAAGCCAGCAGGCGCCGTTTACATTTGCACCAGGGCTCCTCCTCAGACAGGAGGCAGGGACATTGGGGAACTTCTCAGAGATCTCCCCAAGCAAATATTGGGGTGTCTTTTTCAACGGGGCTGGGAAGAGGCATCACTGGTGGGATGGGAATAACTTGGTGCCATTCCCCAGGATGGCACATGCTGGTGGCAGGCCCAGCAGCAGGTTCCACAGGAGGACGGGGCAGAATCTGCAAGATGCCGGGCAACGTGTTACGGTCAAAGCTCTGCCCCAGCCTTTTGTGAGAGCCTGCAGAGAGAGATCCAGGCCTACCAAGCTGAACCCTTTTCACTTCTCAAAACCCCTTTTAAGCTTGACCACCTAGGAAATCTGTTGGTCTTTAGGATGCCCCAAACTCTTCCTGCAAACCGCCTCATATGGATGCCAGCACATGCGGGCCTTGAGACCGGGCCGGTGCTGGTGAGACCCGAGTTCAAATCCCCACTTGACCCGTGCTTTTTCTTCAGCCTGGCCTGCTTTATAAGACTGTTGTGATCCACCGAAATCAACTCGAGGTGCCACTTTATGGATCCAATAAAGAAGGACCTGGGCTGGTTTCTAGCTGCTTCATCCTAGCCTGTTGTGCATTTGCAGGGAATCGAGCAGACTCTGCCTGATAATAACTTTGTTCTCTTTTCTTCCCATCCCGGCTCGTCCTTAATTCTTTCTGCAGGACGAATATCAGTTCTGTTACCAAGCGGCCCTGGAGTACCTTGGAAGTTTTGATCACTATGCAACATAAAAAGGAAAGGAAACTTTTCAAAAGCCATTCGTTGTGCAGACTCCTGTCTGAGCTACGAGAAGCTAGCCTCGACCTTTCTAAACACCTACAGACTGAATCAGAAAAACGTTACCTCCCGATACACCCATTTCGGATGCTAATGCGAGGAGGGAGGCGCGAGGGGAGGGCGGAGCAGCGACACCCCACCCTTCCTCCGAGGCGCTGCGTCTCCAAAAGGAACTTTCCCCATTTCTGCCTGTGTTTCCAAACCCCAGACTGCAGAGCATCCACAGGGTGGCTCAGAACCAGGGCGGGAGTTTTCCTTCTTTTTCTTCTTTTTAAGTGGCGAACTTGTTGTTCTTACCTCATCTGGTGTTTACGGTGTGGAGAGCACATGGGCCGCGTGGAGCTGATCCAGACCCGTATTGAAACTTCATAATACAGCAGATGCTTGCCTCGTCCACACCTTGGAGAACAGCAGTCCGGTTGGGAAACCATGCCCAAGAACGAGAGAGAGAGAGAGAGAGAGAAACAGCTGATGGGGTGGGGGAATAGCAAAAGAAGATTTTGACCACAACAGTAACATTTTAGGGTTCAGTTTACATACTAATCTTGTTGGCAGACTTTAAAGGAAGCCACTTAGGTGTGCTAAAGAGGCAAACAAAGCAAATTTTGCATCAGGTACGGCCGAGCAATCTCATTGGAATCGCAGGGCTCAGTTTCCGCCAAGGCGGTTTAGCTGTCCTGCTGCCTCTTTCTCAGCTTAGCTTCTGAACACTTTAACATTCCTCTTCTTTTACCACTGCAGAATTTTTACGTCAAAAAGCGAACCAAAACAGGCAATAAGTTATTACATGCCCCAGACGTTTCACAAAGATGCAAAATCCCCAGTATTTACCGCTCCGCCCCCCACCCCCCGCGTATTCTAAACTCTGAATTTTGGAAATCTGCAATGCAGTTCTACATATCTTCTCTTCTCCAGATTTCAGAAGGGTGGCGCCATGGAGATTTGAAGTACATTTAACACCGGTCAACATTTCTTTCTTTCTTTCTTTCTTTCTTTCTTTCTTTCTTTCTTTCTTTCTTTCTTTCTTTCTTTCTTTCTTTCTTTCTTTCTTTC